AAATCAAGTTCTGATAAGGTTGTCTAACGAAATGATTAAACACTCATGAGAAAATATTAGAACTTGCATATCAACCTTATTTTATATCATTGCCTTGGTCTTCCTGAAATCTACAGAATATCATATAAAAGTATGAAATTAGGTATCATCAAACAATAAATTTAGATTGCATCAGATCATTTGTTACAATTACTTGCGCAAAAGTTGATGTTTATTTGATGAAATGTCCCCAGTTCATGTGATACTTATTTATCAATGATTAGAACAGAAGGAGTTAAAAACTTAGCAATACAACAGCATTTTCTTTAAATTATCTTATTCATACCATAAGTTAAGTAGATTGTCCTTGCATCTGAGGGGGATACAACTAGAGAAGATAGTTTATAGTTGAAAAAGAAACCATTGACTCTGCCTGAGGAGTAACCCCGAGATATGTATTGCTTGCTAATGAAATATCCATGAAGTAACCAGACAATGAATATCCTAAATTAAGGTAAGACAGTATCATGCGTTCATAACTTCCATTCTCAGTACCGTATACCATTATCAATGTGACTCCGGGATAGCCATGATTTGGTAGACTCTTATTACTGATGTTGGGTGATGTTTAAAAGTTAAATCAAAGTTTGGGTGGCGGTGGGATTCTAACCAGTGGCCTCCTAGCTACCAGTCTGGTGATCTACTAACCAAGCTACTAGACTTATCTGCTGCTGTTAACCCGAAGGTAACCGGTCCGAATCGTGGCGTGACCCAGATTTTCACTTCACCTTCAGTCATCACCCGACAGCAATAATACTAGTCTGCAAAACCACTGCTATCTCAGACAGTCACACTGATGGTCAAGATGATACCGCCTTTCTCTTATTCATCTCGATTTCGATTGCAATGAGGAGACCTGAATGGCCAACCAGTGTGAATACGATGAATGGACGGTTAGGCATCATGAATTTACACAGCAATCGGGTAATACCCTTGTTGACTGAAGTGAAATTAAAGTGTGATCAGAAGCTGGGACACGCAGTTCAGTTGGTAGAGCGCCTAGCCAGTAACGCGGAAGCCGTTGGTTCCAATCCTCCAGTCACCCAAATTTTAATCTAACCCTCAAACATCGCACAGTACCGTATAATATACTCTAATAAATCACTTCATTAGCCTTGGTTTATTGTAAATAATAATAATAATAATAATAATCTAATAATCTAATGAAAAGGTTTCTTATCAAGAGTTATTTTTGCGTCACTTCACTTTTCATTTTTGTCAAAATAATCCTGTCCCCTTGTCACTTACTTATTTAGGGTTAGGTTTTTAATCTAATCCCTAATAAACTTGATTATTTATGATTATTAATAACAATACTTTCGCCTTTATGCTACATATATTATAAATTCCTGTGAAATAATATTCTTAAACCGAATATCTAACAGTCCACTCACATTGATATTTCACACCTAACCACAATTGGGTGAGAAATGACCCATTCAACACAATTTACTGTACAGACACATACACACACAAACGAGTGCAAACATGCACACTGCAAACATATTGGTCCGTGTTGGTGCTAGATCATTTACAAGGCGATGGAACAACAAAACTCTTGATGAATAGTATAATTTCAATCCCCCACTTGACTCACAAAGGAATATTACTATCATTATTGCTCTACTTAAAGTCTTTATTATATGCCTTATACGTAACTTCATGTTATTTTACGGTTAGTTTTGAGGTCAAAAAAAAATAGAATGACAATAAATTCAAGAATAAATTTATTAAGGATCTATGATTAATTTATCATAATGACAAAATTTAATTCAACTGAAGAATCAGTAGTTTATTGAATCAACAGATAAACAAAAGTTATAGTAATGGTTGATAGTAGTTGGCAGTAAGATCCAGGAGGCGTGTTTCGTATTATTCGGGACTCATCGGTTGAATATACCTGCTTCCCAATGAGTGACATTTTCCCACGGGGACTCGAACCCGAGCGAATCGCTTCAAATGTCAGTGTTTTACTCACGAGACTGTTGAACTACTATAGGCACTCCTTGTGAAACGGGAGCAGTTTGATAATTCAAAACCATTGAAAACTAGAGGCTGTTAAACAGCTAGCTATCTGATCTTAATTTATGGGTTTCCAGTGGTATATACCAATAAGCTTCCATGCAATAGAATCCAAAGCTATACAACTTCATGGTGAGCGCTTTGGAATTTAGTCATTCAATTGAATACTTGCTGGTTTACATCTTCCAGCTGCTGCTTAACCTCTGTATAACCCATCTTTAATATCGCTAGTCAACTTCAATACTGACTTCAATTATAGTTGAAATCACTGACTATAAGTTTCTACTGAGAGTTTGAGATATTTCAAGGTGTGTATTACTGAATTCTACACCAATGAGTAAACAGTAGTTTTCTGGTCATTAGATTTGATTATCTTTGGCTCACTGTGTTATTAGGTCAAGCGTGAGTATTTGTGAAGAGTCTTTGACTGGAGTGAAATAGGTATTGAATGCATATCTGTTTTCGGTGGTTCTCTAGGTTAAATTCATCCATACTGAAAATTCCCTTCAGATTTAAAAGCCCTCTCTCAGAGATCATTCAACTGGATCCAAAGAATGGGTCGAAAGTGATTTCACCAAACTAATCATAATATCTTAGAATTACTATAACGTTTTTGAATTCATTTTGGCATTTACCTTGGTGTTTATGAAACTGATTCTTGATCAGATTGGTCACTGTGCAACTTCCATGATAATTATCAGTCTTTTTAAAGTACTGAGTAGTATTCTAATAACTCATGACCGAGCTCATAATGTAATGAAACGTACTATTTTTTCTAATATATCCTGTACAAACACTATCAGTGATTGGTTAACTTTCCGAGAATAGTGATAACTGAATACCACTCAAACGTCACAAAGTATATACAGACAATATACTTCTCATTCCGTATATTTTAACTGGTTATACAGTTACATATCAGCTTGTCATCATAATTGCCGTTAGTTAACTTTTATATCCACAGGTTCATTCATCTTCTCAAATATATTTTCTTTAAAAATTAATCCACACAGGTCAGATAAATAGATAAGAAAGAAAACAGCTGTAGTTATTTGAAACTGGATGTTGCTGATTTTTTGAACATATTCCCCTGTTCTTCTTCTTTCCTGTTTCTGTACATAACTTTGCATTTAAGTAATAAGTGTGAGATAATCGACAGTGTATCCTACTGTAAGATGCATGAATGTTTACATGTGTGTACGTTTGTGTGTTTATCATAGAATGGAACATATGTTTCCTGGCTACGCAGAAAACTTTCTTCCTTCTATTCTTTTTTATTCCTCCTTCTTTTTCAATATCAGAAGGACTCTGCTTTGACGAAATGGTTGTGGCTTGATGAAAAGAATTTTTGTATGTCCTATTTAGTAAGGTGGATTATTAGTGAATCAAGAGAATGGGTAGGAATCGCTTGTCTGGTCACTAACGGTAGTATATTTTTTGAAAAAGTAGTAGTAAACAGTAAGTTATTAAAGGTTGTAGTTATTGCCAGCTGTTCATTGTTCATCCGCTTACTGAATAGTAATTACAAGCAATAAGGATTAATGTTATTGTAGTTATCCTCCCATCATTGATTGGACTCAACTGATTGGTCTCTATTGACAATATAGGTTGCTGCGCCGTTCCCTCAATATTGTCTAGCTTCAGTTTAGTAGTAAAATTAATTGTGTGAAATTCTAAAATGTGCATTACAAATGGAGATGACTTTGTCAAATCCAGCCTGTATGCACAGAAAGATGAATAGAGATAATAATGCTAAGTTATTACGCCTGTTTACTGCGGTATTAGTAGACCAATTTTTATATTCCTGATCCGATGGTCAGTAAGTAGTTTATCGGTTGTCATCTTTGAAAATGGCATTGAACGATGATTGTAGTATATAACGAATTGATAGAAATTGAAAGATGTGGGTCACTGGATTCCGACAGATAGATTGAGTGACAAAATACTCGTCGTGACATCCAGCGGTTGTGGGATCGATCTCTTTCAAGGTTTTAGGTGCATGTTACAAAGTGTGCCGAACCAAGGCAAAACCTCTGTACAGTGTTCCCAAGTATTCAATAGTTTTTGATTAGTGATGAAATATCCTCGAAAATGGTCTTGTAAAAGTTGAATAACTAATTCACTTTTCATTTACTTAAGCTAGGATAGCTCTCATGTCTTCTACTGACAGAAGCAGTTAAAGCAGGACAGACTAATCTCGATGACAACATTCTGAACTGATCTAGTAATGATAGTGCAATTCATCTATCAGTACTTCATATAGTGGAACCATCAATATAATAACTTCACTGTCAGTTTTGAGAATGTTTATTATTTGTAAGACGATGGGAAACTCAAGAAATAATGACTTGTGAAGTTGATGAGATGTTTGTGGAACTTGTACACCATCTGACTGTGTTTATGAATTCTTAAAACTTCATGTGTATCAACTTCTTGCCTGAATATCAAATGATGAGTTGTTTTTAGGCAAGTGGAATGACTTACATGTTAACATTTAATGCGCTAATTTTCAATCGTGTACATTACATTACCAACTTCACTTCCAGTATTACATTAAGCTTAGTTTTGTCGCGTTCTGTCATCAAACACCATAGAGCTAGCTAGCTTTACTCGTGACTTCATCGTAAGGAACAAACACCACAGTCACAAATAAATGTTAGAAATTAATTCCATAATAATGAATTTCCTACATGTTAACTGATATTTAGGAATACATAAGGACCCAATCCTACTAATTCCAAATATGTAGTAGTGTGAGTAGTAGTGCGAGTAGTAGTAGTAGTAGTAGTAGTAGTAGTAGTAGTAGTAGTAGTAGTAGTAGTAGTAGTAGTAGTAGTAGTAGTAGTGGTCGGAGGAGGAAGAGGAGAAGTAGTATAAATCCCTTGTATTGTTGACAGTATGAATTACTTTCATTTTCATTTCAATTTTTTTATATTTAGCATCCTTATCCAACAGAAGATGAAAAGAGACAAATTGCTGGTCAAACAAATCTAACTTTATTGCAAGTAAATAATTGGTTTATCAACGCTAGACGGCGTATTCTGCAACCAATGCTCGACTCATCAAATTTTGTACCACTTGGAAGCAATTGTAACAGTGTTGATGGATCATCAGATAGAATGTTGAATTCAGTTGGTTCGAGTGAAGTGCATGTTATTAGTAAGAAGAAAAAAGCTGCAACAAGCAGGTAAACTGAAGGATTTAATCATGGTAGAATTTCATGTTTTTAAATGGAAGGATACAATTTTCTGATTATGAAACTGAAGCGTAACACTTTTTCTTATTTAGGTTGTCTTTAGATTGATCGGTCAATGGATAGTAGACAATTTCATGTTGTTTAACCCCAAGTGCTGACAAAATTCTTTCAATCTTTTTGCAGTGCTAAGAGATTCAACATCAAGTTGCACTTTGACTGATATTAGTTGGTTGGAGTCAACTAGCAGGAAGCTGTAGACCTAGTTTTCATGTTTTTTGGCACTGGTTAACAGAGCATATCTAATTCAGTCTTAAGGGTATTTAGTCTAGACTAGAATATCTTACTGGTAACGTCTCTCATTGCAGCTTTGAGTGACGTGTGTATCAAATCTCTAGGGCTGCAGCTACGCGTTGTTAATGAGTGCTAACACGCATGAAACCTAGTTCGAGCAAGCCTTCCTGCTGATTGTTCCCAGCTGCCTACCATAAAGATTGCCTTCATTATGGGGTGGAGACGGAATATTATAGAGAAAACAAGCACCAACAGTAAACAAAACCAAATTGTTCGAGCATAAAGACAGACATAATAGAGAGTATGTAAGCTTTATAAAAGACCAGTAGATTTGATAATGATGTGATGCACACTATTCTGTCGCCTGACACATTAAAGAGGATACTGCCGTAAGAAAGTCTTGAGGCTAGAGACAAGTTAAACACCGTGGAAGACTTATTGATATAGTGCATTGGAGTATTGGTTGTCAGACTAGACAACTAGCTCAAAATTTGAAGCCAGTTGCACCAGGTATTCTCATGACTTAATATACAACTGGCTACTATCACTGATGCATTATCACTGCCGTCTGAAAGGTTACTTTTTCCATCATGTAGCCGGTCACATTTCTTCCTCTTAACAGACAGAATGGGTTTAGGTCAATATGTTTGTCTACTTTCGGACTAAATATGTACCAGGCTTGTAAACACTTTCAAGTTTTACCAGAATTTCATGCATTCAGTATATCCAATTAATCACTTCCGGTATCCTATATGCTGCTATGTGAGCTTAATATGGCACTCTAGATTAAAAATACTGCAATAAGTGAAGAGACTGATTAAAATTACGATCAAAATGGCTCATTTCATGTATTGATTGAACACCATGATCACCGTTAACGTCAATCATGCTGCATAAGGTTTACATCGTTGCCTCCGTAGTATAGGCGTATTCCACAGTGTCACCACGTGAGTAATGCAGAAGTCAGGTGCAGAGTTTTAGGGATAAGAGGTAAGTCAGTTGACGAGGTTATGAACCTTCATCGACTGAGATGGTTGGGACACGTACTACGTATGCCTAGTCACCGATTGCCTCGCCACACAATGTTGACCGAAGTAGGTTGAGACTGGAAAAAGGCCCGAGGCGACCAGACTAAAACATGTCATCAATGTATGAAGTCTCCGACTTTTGGTTTGAGCTATGTGGGACCATGCAGACTGGGTGGTTGGGGTCTACGGGACAAGAGGAACCAGTGGTTGAAGACTCTAGATGGTATGGCTCAGAACTGAATTTTCTTATCTTCATCTTCCACTTCACCACCTTTTTACTTGATGTACTGGTTGATATGAGCAGTGGTAACTCGGACCGTTACATAGTAGTGCCTGGTCCTATGTTGATTTGGATAATGATGATGACGTGGCAACATGCTAGTTACCAGCAGTGTAAAATCGCTGTTTTCTCTATTTAATCTTAAACAACCACATTCAGGAATAAGCAAGTCCAGTGTGAAAATACACTAAAGAAAGTTAATAATCCGTGTACTTTAAACTTCAGATGTCAGACAATTAAGCTTTCTTAATGTCCCAATAAACTTAGACTGAATATTTCATTCATCCATCGTAATGTGAGAATATTATTTCTGTGAATATGAAAATTTGTTCTTATTTTATCACTTGTGAAAAACAATCACATCAGAAACAAGTTCTAGAAAATCCAAATATTTTGGCATTTTTACCACACAGTAGTGTTATATGAATTATTGAATATATCATCATCATCATCATCAAATAAAGTACATTAATTTTGACATAATTATTCATCAAAATAATCCTAATAAATTGTGATAACTTATCTGTACATTATTTATGTAGTATGAACATATTTATAAAATTGAATAGTTAGCTAACGTTGTAATAGGTAGGCATCATTTATTTCCATTTGACCTTGTAGTCTTATTGATTTATACTTAATTAATCAATTCAATAAAACAAGAGTAGAAAAGTATATCGTCATTGAAACACACTTACTTACTTACTTACTTACTTATCAGTAAATTTTAATCAAGGAATGAAACACAACATAATATTTACATCTACACAAGTATTAAACATTTCCCCTAATCGATTATATATATATATATATATATATATATATATATATATATATATATATATATATATATATATATATATCACTGGGACTTATTTGTCTGAAAGTGAACTTCCGGAATTGAAATATACCTAACAATTACAATTATGATGCAGTCATCAATAGAGTATATTACTCAGGATGTTGATAAGTTAAAGATAGAGAAGTGGAAGAAATTAAACCATCATAATATTTTATGAGTCATAGTTTTATTCCATTGTTAACTTTGTATTATATTTTTCCTTTTTCATAATGTATTTCACTAAAATATCGATCGTTTGTTAGATTTGAAAGTGAAAAAAAACTACAGGGAAAATAAATATGAGGTTATTATTTTTCCAACAGAGATTAACTACTTATAAGTAGATTGCTTGTTTGACAAAATTATCAACAGTTTTCTGGTTATCAACATTTTTTCCTACTGCTGATAATTTTTTCGGCATATTGCGTAACTGTGTATATCCTTGAAACTAGATTAGTCGTGCTACTACTTCGAATGCATATGCCTACTATCATAACATGTCATAATGGATGAATGAAGATCGAATTACCTATGCAAAGTTTGATTAGATTTGCCGTCTATGTACTCTATTTACCAGCTGAAATTTGTTTTCTTAACACAATTTCAATATTCATTGAACTAATCAACCTGATTAGTCGGGAAAGAGTGAGACTGGTAGATAAGTAGCACAATGATTTTATCTCCTTACGTTTTCTATCAACATCCAAGAGATAAGTTCACGTTCCTTGAAATTTTTGGAAACAGTTTTAACGGTATGAACAACATTTGGCGACTTGTGTCAATGAGAAGTTAGTTTATACCTCTTTAGACTGAATTTCATAGCTTGTAGTTTTTCATCGGTGAGTGAGTATGGCACTTACTGGTGATTTGGATTTCTGTTCGGATCCTTTGACACTTAGATGTTATTTAAGTCGCATAGCAGCCTTCAAAGGTGCAAGTAAGACATTGTGGAAATCGATTTAGATGGATGATATGCTCGATTATCAATAGACTGTAAAGCTTAATTTCCATGTAGTTACACTCACTTTGATTTATCCATATGTTTAATATTGTAGACCTTCAAATAACAGATTCTGGCCAGCAAGTTTAGTTGCTGCAGCTGCTATACATCCTGCTGCAGCTGGCTTGGTATCTTCTGGGACCATTAGTTTCAGTGCTGCGGTAAATTTCGCTCTCAACAGTACCAGTAACACTAACAATATGAACACTACGACAAGCACAGTACGATCCGATTGTCAAATATCCGATACAACACCTAATTCTCTAGATGAAGTTAACAGTGATACATCAATAAATTCAACATCAAGGCATCAGTTGAAATGTGGTTATATTCCTCAAAACTATGAGTCATCCTCTATTTCATCATTACCACGAAGTCCTGAACATAATCGTGGCTTTGATGGCAAGTTATCATTAGATCCGTGGAATAGTGATACACATATGGATTTATTCCACGCACAGAAATTCTACGCCAACCTTCAATCTGGTATACCTGCATCAAAGCTACGACCAAATATGAATGATAATCATCCTGGATTATGTAATAATGATGGCACTGGAAGTGTATCGAATTCGTCGACTTTATCAAGTCAAAATCTTTCATTTCCACAAGATACAAATCAGTGTTTAAATAATTTCAATTCAATATCGGTGATAAACACAGGTAACTTGTTAAGCCTTTCTTCCAAACAATATGCTTGTTGACGATTTTTTTGAAAGTAATGCCTTAAAAATTACTTGATAACTCGGAGAAGACTGAACATATAAAAGTTGGTTTTTCGTTAGTTAGATGTGGCCTAATTTTTCTCTACTTTCGATAATATGGAATTATCATGTTGTCAACTGTTTTTACGAATCGTACATTCAGTCAGCCGAATGATATTTAGTCATGACAGTTTACACTGAATTAGTCGACTAAGATTTATATGGTTTGAAGGAGTCACCTATCTAAAGGAATGACATGACCGTTCAGTCTCTAGATTATTTAGATATGACAAATAAATAGTATTAATCATCGCAAGCTGTTGACAAGTAATCATCATTTCAATCATCGATATACGTTCAATGTACGAATTCTCACACGATTTTGTAGGTAAACAGTTTTAGTAAAGGTATTTTGCCTTATCTTTTGATAAATTTTTAATCAAGAGTTTCTCTTACGATCTGACTACAAATCATTAATATTTACTCTTTGCCTCATTTCAATCGATGACGACTGAAGGAAATACTCAAGTCAGAGAGCTGGTTTGATGCATGTGCTTACTTGAAACCGTATGACCATAAGATACATTTCTAGTTGACTAAAGTGGGATCTAATTCTAGTGGTTAGCGAAGTCCGATACTCTATTTAGCTGATGAGGAAGTGAGTCAGTCGAAGGATGAGTACCGGTGTTAGTCCGTCTGTAAGTCGACTCATGTTTCAGCTTCAAATCAGATAAAACTCATAATCCACCTAGATAGGGAGTTTTTACTGCAAGTAGTTTGTTCAAGAATATGATTATTACTATGCGTAGTTTTCGCCAGTTCAGTGAGGAATTCTGATTACCGCCTAGAAAATGGTCGGAAATATAGATCAAACTCATTTGACTGACAGAAAAACTTCTGACCAAAGACTTTCTCGGTAGCCTTTAACGGTTGAAAAGTAGCCTATTCAATCCTAGACAAAACTGACATCAAACAGATGCAATATTCTCTGGCTTTGAATTCAAAATTCCAACCAAGGTGAGCTGCAATCATGTAGGCGCATAATTCGAAAATCTTCATTACCAACTGTCTAGAATGAAACCATTTATCTGGGGGGAAAGGATTAATGATTCGAATATGAAATCATTACACACGTAAGTGAATATTCTGTCTCTGTGCAAATGCACTTATAGCACTCCGTCTCTCTCTCTGAGATGCAAATTAAACCATTCGAATGTCTATATGATAATAAATTTACAGTTATTATAAGACAAGATGAACATTTGGAAGTTATCATAAAGGGATGACTAGTGTAAATTTCTTTCTCCCTATCCTCAATGAGAGTCAATGTTTTTTTCGATAATTAGAGATAAAGTAAGACAGTATCTGCTCTACAAATAACAATATAAATGAAAGTACAATATATAGTGTATTATCTGAACATTTCTATCTCGTATGAATTGAATGAACTGGCTGAATTGTAACTAATGAAATAGATAAGTCAAACTGAAGCCAAGCTATTTGATCCACTGTGTGAACATTTTCCCCAGAAGCTCAAAACGCAAACGACCAGTTGCTTCTTCGATAAGAACACTAAGCCTTAGAGCAATCCTTAACATCTGCTCGCTACACAAGATTTGTCTGAAACACGGTGCTGCATTGATAGATGAAAGCAGTAAAATGTAGATTACAAGTCTCAAATGCTTAGATACCCACTGGATTATTGTTGTTTCAAGCACTTACAGGAGGTGAATTAGCAAAGTAAGCGACAACCAAATCATAGTAGAAAATTATCTAAATGGCACAGTTTCAGTAGGTAAGGCTCAGAATAAAAAAATACCCGAAAGAGGATAGAACACCAAAGAAACAAATGAAGGCAGTACAATACAGTGATGGAATGGAAAAGATGTTAATGTAGTCAAATTTCAAAATGATAAATTACGATTTCAACTGAACTAAGAAATATTTTGAGAAAAGAGTTATACTGTTCACTGATAGCAAGTAGTATAAACTAATAGAGTAAAAAGAATACAAGGTTAAAATCAAAATAGCAGATAATTCGAGTGCAGTTGTTGATATACTTGTAATTCTCCTTTGTTTCATTGGATCGAATTGTTTGACCTCTGTTGGCATATGGTTTCCTGTGTAGATGCCTCGATATTGTCTGAGTGTTAATTATAGTAATTTGGTTGTTTGTGGCTAGCAGACGAATCGAAGATGCGCGTTTCATACAGGTTCTAGTCTCAGTGAGAGCAATACTCATTGAGGTGCAGCTACATCCAGCTGACGAGTCCCAAACAGGACAAAACATGCATCCTGGACTCCTCTGCTAGCCGCAACCAAGAGAATTACCATAATTCAAGCATAATTAGGAAAGATGAACACAGCTGACATAAAAGGGGAGAATCCCTAGCTTACCGAGCTCAAATGAGAGACTAATTTGCAGTGGAGTAAAGATTAATCAAAGTGAAAAATTCCGTATACCTGAGATTGGTACTAAAACACGTTTTACTGTGAAAATCCCACCTCCCCACTATGATCATTAACTGCATGAGGAAAGCAGTCGTTATCTCATCAACAAGAAATTGATAACCCTGTTATTTTCCTCACTATTACACATCATTGCTTCACCTGATTCCCTTAACTCAATGAACGTTAAGCAATGTAAGATGTTGATATAATTTTGGACTTGCAGAGGCACTCATGCCTTCGAAATGCTTATCATTGATAAACAACACCAATTATAAAAACCACGAAGAAAAAACCTATGATACTGTTTCATTCCCACTCCGAACTCCTATAAAGTTAATATATCTCGCATATTCTGCGACACAGTTTATTCATATATTTTTTGCATAACTAACCTGCCATCTCTTCCAATGATACATTTTTACCCCTGATGATCATTTAATTTGGTGAGGGTAGAATACTGAGAACTGGTTTATAAATGTATAGGGCAGAATTACACAGGCACTGAAGTCACCTCAACACTAAGACTTACTAATATTTTATTTACATTCTTCGGATACTTTCTGATGAAAACGAGAATAAAAACTCGTTTATCGATTCTCACATACATATACCGTGTTTCAACCTCAATAAATCTACACATAGAAAAACCTATGAGTGTTCCATACTATCCAGTGGAAATTTTCTACGATTTTTGTCAATCTGAAAATGCTTTTAGTAAGTCGTCACCGTTGAGGAATTTCTTACACACTCCCGACTTCCTCAGTGCCATATGTCACTAATGCGTAACAAAACTCAAAACTCAAGACATCAGTAATGAGTCAGTGAAACTTGTGAAGACTGTGACACTTTGATCTTTTCCAGTTTGATGGTATACAGGTGAAGAGTCATTTATTCGAGAAATTGGAAATATATTTTAACAATTTATGTAGAAAGTTTATTCACTTTTTGTATTTAACTCTAAAACCTATTTGTCAAGATTGTTTCATAGAGTAGCGAATACAATTTCTAGTATATTCTTAGAATATTTCCTTTTTCATACCTTTTTCTTACTTCAGACTCACCACAAATGATAACTGGAAAGTTTGATCCCGTACATGATGAAAATTTACCTATGAAGCAACCTGCGGATGAGACTGTCATTAAACGCATGACTCCCCAGTTAATGTCATCTTTGTCTTCATCATCGCCACCATCATTTTCCACGTCGAAAGAGACAGACCGGTGTACAGACACTACACAACAGCCCCACACCCATCCCCATCCCCACCATCCCCAACATCATCAGCAACAACAACAACAGCAGCAGCACGGTAGTCACAATGAAGGATCTGAGAAGCATTTTTCAATAAATGTACCAATGAACGCCAATTTATTATTTAACAATAATAATAATAGTAACAATCCTTTAAGGAGTGAAACCATTAACAATAATAACAATGTAATAAAAGTTGAGAGAAATTTCACTTCATTTCTGCCCAATTTATCGGTTAATCCAAATAAAGAAAAGGTTAACCCTTTAGAAAGTGAATTATTGGAGACAGATTTAGTGAACAATAGTAATAACATTAGGGAGTTTCCAGCCACCGTCGTTAGTGATCATTCTTATGCGTCAAGATCACAGAATGACATGGCGATGAAAATGATGATGATGAATTCGCAGTCAAATTATCCACAGAATTATTCATCTATGCTGTTGTCTCATGCAAGAACCTATACAAATTACTTATCTAATAGTATGCATATTTCAAATAGTTTCTTACCCTTCGATATTCAAAATAACAATAATAATTGTAATGATACCAATCCTAACTACAGTCATGTCAACAATAATGTGAACCAATTAAACTACACAACTCATTCATATCCTAGAAATACGAATATGACGGAAGGACAAGGTTTCGAACTTAGCGGACTTACATCAAATTTAAGTAGTCAACCTTCATCTACTCTAACTTCACAGTCTTCTCATCCACATCTTGATCGATCTTCATCTATGCATCATCATTCAGAGTTACGTGATGGTTTGACTGACACATGGCAGAATACTACAACGATGACAGGCAGTTCTTTTATGCATAATTTAAATTCACTTAATCAATACACAAGTAAGCTAAAACAATTCACTTCATCTAGCCTACAAAATCATAGTAATACTGACTGTTTATCTGGTTCATCAGATGAAGATCTTCAACAACATCAGCATCGTCAACATCTCCATCAACATCATCACCAACAGCAGCAGCAGCAGCAACAACAACAACAACAACATCATCATGAACCAGAGAATGGACCATTCATGGATTGCTTCACAAGTTCTAATTCATTAAATCGTAATAAAGAATCAAGTGGAGATAGATCAACAAGTCTGCACACTACTGGTCAAATGTTTTATAATCTTTCTAGTGATATGAAAAATGTAAACTACACACATTCCGAATCAAGTCTGCATGACAGGTTGAATCCAAAGTCAATTTATCCCATACATTACGATCATGAGCATCATCTTTCCCTTCCTCCACTTCCCCAATATAGTAATAATGCAATTCTACATGGTCATATAGGTACTAATAATGGACGTAATAATACTAGTGAGCTTACTGCAAGTGCTTGCGCCAACAACAGTGATACTACTGATAATAATAGTAATAATAATGACTGTGGTAAAACCAGTATTTCTTTCTTTAAATCACCACCATTTGGCTTAATGACTGAGTCGAATACTACATTTAGATATCATAATTCATAAGAAATAATCAGAATTCTCTTCTTTTATTCACTGTCTTCTTAATTTCTTTTACCAATCACTTTCTATTTCGCAAAATGTACATAATAATTTTGAACGAGAATTTATTAAACAAACAGTCAGTCCTTTGATGAAAGGATAATTCTGTCTGCAAATAAAAATCCACTTGATTATCCTTCATAAAATCTTAGTGTACGGTAAACTGTAAAGCAGTAATATTTTTGTCATCTCAAGCCGGATTGGTCGATGTATTCGATTTGTTTACGTGCAGTCGCACACCTATATTCTTAAATGTACACATGAACATGCAATTGTGTAATTTCATAAGAGCACTTCACAACACATTACATTACTAAACAGGGTAAACATTTCAAAATAATAAATTAACTAAATTCAACGTCATGATAATGACTGTCTGTCTGTGTAAAACATTTCATTGATATTGTACAAAATAACAACAATACTAATATAGTTAAAAACTAGTGAGTGATAATATGAAATGATAGAATCAAACAACAAAAGAGTATTTGATAAGATGTTTCTTTACCTGCACACTTTTCTCTACTTGTTTACTTCGTTTATCTTTTTTCATTTAACTAACTTTATTTCACGGAAACACAGGGTAATATTATTGCAACAACAATGACAACAACTTTTTACTATGAATAATGATGCAAAGGAGAAAAAAAAGAGGAGTGAAATGGCTAGTGAATCTTACTATTACTAATTCGTTATTTTCATTACCAGTTTGAAGTAAATTCATTCATTATTTCATTTTTCTTCATTATTAAATGACTACTAGATTGAAATGAGTAGTTTGGATTGATTGAAACGTATTAGTTACCGATACTCATAATATCCCGTTGTCACTTTTGGATTGAAGTGATCCGTGTGGATCCTTCACTATTGCTTGATTACTTATGTTTTTATCCTGTTGGTGGCAGCTGGCAGTGGAATTCAAGAAGCGTGTTTCTTCTCTTTTCAAACTAGTCAGGCAATTTCCAGAGTAATAACGGGAAATTACAAGTATAAACAGATAAAAATAGCTTATATCCATTGCACAAGCAGTGAATTTCGCGTCCCAGTGATCCAGCAGATAACCTTCCACTTGAAATAGTTGGCAGTGAATTCTAGTGTTTTTGGGAAGAATCATCGTTCACTGTGAGGCAGGTACATCCAACCGACGAATTTCAAATATGACGCAGTGCACGTCTTGGAGTCCACTGTTAGCCACCACCAAGAACAATGTAAAAGGTGGAAATGCTTCACTGAGTGGTTATCTGATATTTTTGTAGTTATTGATGACACCGATGGTCTCTGATATGTGTAGCTCAGGATGTAATTGCCCCAACAACAAGAAGAAGGGATCATATACACATAGCTAATGAATAATACAGTTTCACTGTTATTACCGTATGTAATCATGAAGAAACTGGTTGACCAGTTGAGTAAATAATAATATAGAAACCTTGAAGATAAAAGAAGCTGAAGAGAAATCTATTCTTTGTCTGCATTTTACTGACAAGCATTTCTTTTGATCAAACTAACCGGTTAACGATCTACATAGAGATTTTGTATTCCTTTGAAATAGCATTGAAAATCTTTTCAATAAGGAGTATTTCAACAGCCCAGATTGGACGGAAACTTTACACTGATCAAAACTTCTAGAGATATCAAACCTACTATAAGACGTAGCGTTTAGGGTTAGGGAAATGTTATCCTTTTAAACTTTAATCAGTGTCAATAAATCCAACCATCAGATTGGTCATCAGCCGGGCTTGTAGTTTAGTATTCGATTGGGTGTGATGAAAATGTAAATGAATTCATACTAATAGAACTATCATCATCATTCAGAAAATGCAGCTAACTAGACTTGTAGTTTTTCGATTAGACATAAGGGAGGGAGTATTTAGTTGGTGAAAGTGCAGTGGAATTCGTTAACTTACTTGAATTGCATTTCACAACTCAAGTGATAGTTTTTAAAGGCTGCTGACAAACAAGTAATCACATCTGAAGTGGTCAACTACTCGACATTCAGGAAGAAGCTGTGGAAGAAGAAGAAGAAGAGGCGAAATAGGAGGTGAATAAAGTTGATCCCAACTAATCCATGGTGGGTTGATTGTCAACCGAACAGTAATCAATTTCATGCTGTTTAGTCCTATGAGCTAAGAGGATTCTATCAATCACTTTGTAATAGAATCACCACTCTGGAAGATTTGACATTGTGGTGATAATTTTATTGCCAGAACTTGAATAACAAGTTCTTAGGCTTCTTCAAATTGTTTCTGCTGTTCATCCTAATAGTATGTGAACTTGTTTATCAGGTGATAATAGCGACATTGCAGCTGAAATTTACTTTATTCCTCGTCACCAATTTCTGATAACTTTACCTGTCTACAATTGTCCCAAGCACCTGATTCGCCTTTATGTTCGATTTTACTACTGATATTCCAAGTGTGTGATTGGTCTTGAGAATACACCTACCTGCCCAGTCTCCATCTTGTATACTCAACTCAAACCACACGCACACATGGTGAGTCACATCATTTTGCCCTCACCAATAAACAGAACACAATGTCTGTGCTTGATTGTCCTTACATCTCATTTTAGGCATTATCATTTGTAATGAAATTTAAAAACAAACAAACAACTGACTGTCTGACTGATCTTAAGCACAAAATATGCCTTTGTAATCCATTTCAATGCGTTTCATTCAACTTGCAGTCATTTCCCAAAATATATGTCATACAGTAACGGGTCGATCACCCAACAGTTAGTCAAGAGTTAGTTGTTGAAGTGAACGAGCCATACAGTGATAATGTGTTATCGATTAGGTGGTCGGGCATAAGTAAAACGACTTTTAAAATGAATAATCCTTTCACAAAAGTATAAATTCAAACTTCTATACATAAAGGCTTGAGTATTCTGTACAAACATTGAGCCGCAATATGATTCAGTGAATTGGTCATTGATAGTCAAACTTGTTTACGCCTTGACAACTAAGAGGATTTCACAACATCTTAAATTTTCTACTGAGCATTTTTATTGAATGAGTAAACAAAGACTGAAAATCAGATGAATGAGGTGTCTGACAATATATCTGTCTGAGCAGATGACTACACACTGACTTACTCAGCATAAAGATCACAAATTTCATGAAGAATCTACAATTCATAAAACTAGGTAAAAATTTGAAATCAGATAAAAGGTGACTTCACATTTCTTTAGATGGAATTTCAATGTGTAACTGTGTAGAAAGAATACAGACGGTGTAAATTATCTTTGCTTGTCAATAACATAGATGGCCATGAAATATCGAAGTCAACCAGTAAGCCAAGTTGGAAATAAATTTGATTTAACCATTAAACAAAAGAAGTTATTAAATCTCAATTAGTGATAGTAGATATAAGAACTTTCGACTGGAACGAAGGTATTCAGTATATCTGTGATATTTAATTCTACAAGGATTGAAAAGCAGTTTGTCATTAGTGCTTATAACTGTGGTGATAGGGGAGAAAGTTCCAAGAAATCAACTACCGATATTCAATGTCAATTTAACTCAAACTTGAACTTTCTTTACACTTTAACAGTCAGCATTGACGTATCTTGAGGACGTCAACTCATCTCATTATATTATTTTTCCCTTAGGATCCTAGTGGAACATAGGGCTTCAGTCGCCATTGCACTCTCTTCTCTGCAGTCTTCAAAACCTGGCTACACCACTGCATACAAGCTTTCGTTTCTTCCTCATATGATCTTCTCTATGTCTCCCTTGCCTCCGATGCCCAACTGGTCGTTTCTTCCTTGGATTTCACTTCTCAGTGTATGCCCAGTCCAATCTATCTTCACTTTCTCCTTCTGCATATTTGTTGGGTGATAGCTATTTGGTTGGTTCTTTCCCAGAGTTCCTTGTGGCTTATTCTCATTATTTTGGCCATCTGATCTTCAGTATCGAGCGTAGTAAATATCGATTTTCGCGTTTTAAAGTATTTCAATCAGTAGTGTGCCCGTTGCCTCCAATAGAAATAAATCACTTTGACGGTTATTATACGTTCATCTTAAGGCACGATTGTCCGATTCTTTTGACTGAAATGTTTTTACCAGATGAGAATAGCTGTAGAAGGTTTAGAAGTACAGTTAAATCAGGTAGCTGCAGTTATGAATCACTTGAAAATGGATTGAACCTAGACGCATTGGATGTGAATAATTCATTTTTACATGACATGTTGTATAAAGAACGCAGAAAACATATAACCAATCTAAACACACTACTAAATCACAATTTAAGTAACACAAATGTAGGTGAGAAAAGAAAGCATGGGAATACTCTGAATATGCTTGAAAATGAAACGGAGAAAAGAGGAAAGGAGGGAAACTTACTTCACGAGAATGACGATGAACTAGCAGTTGAGGTTGACGAAGACGATAGACTAACAACACTATTTGAGCAAGAGCAGGTTGCAAAGGAACAAGAAGAAACTGATGACATATTGAGAATGGAGTCAGTCTTTGAAGACAGTGAACCCAGTGAAGTGGAGAAAGATGTGAATGGGGAAAAAGAAGATTTAATAAAGAACACACAAACTGAGCGAGTTGATGAGGATGAAGGAGAAATAAGAAGAGTGTTGGATGAATTAGAGCGACCACCAATAATACTAACACCATTGTATTACTTATGTCAATTGTGTTGTAGTACTCTTAGGAAATATCGCATTGAAATCAAGTTTGATGAAAAGAAGAAGTGGGCATCCTCATCCCAAACTTCAGAACGAATCTACGTGAAAAGTACTCTGGGTCTGATATGTGGGATTACATTGGGCTTCATTGCATATTTTTTCTTTATAATAACCTTTCCTCAAAAGCCATACTTATCTACTTTGCTAAGCGCTAACATTATGTTGGTGAGTGTATTCGGTTTAGCATTCTCCAGAGATTTCCAGTGTATTACTCTACTGATATTTCCTTATTTAACTGCATCACGTGTACGATGGTTGATTCTCTTGTATACAACGAGTTTGTCAGTCAGTGGACCAGGTTTGAATTTTCTGCATAATTCAGGAAATTTTCGCAATTCCATCGCATGCGTTGTCGCACAAGTCAATACAAATATGCAGATAGTAAAAAGGCTAAGTCAAGCACCATTTGTTATAATTAAGGATCAACTGGGAAATATTATTGACAGTATTAATGAAATTATGGATCGATTGAGAAAATCATTGCTCAAAGTAAATTTTTCAATTATTCATCTTACCAATATCATGGAAAGTCAAGCTAGTTGGATACACTCATTGATTGTAGCGTGTGGAGACAGCGTCTCCTTGGTAAATCAATGTTTGGCCTTTTTTAATAATATCTACTTCAGTTGTGTGAATGGTTTTGGATTTTTAAGTGGTTTGTGCAAGTTGATTAGATTTTTTGCTAAAGACACCTGTGTTTCAACAGATAGTTTTACAAAATTATGCAAGGAACAAGGCGCAGTACTTGAACACGCCTTAAATATTACATCAAGAGTGGAGTTAGCTAAGCAAGTGGATGAAATAGTCAATGTGATTGGCAGAACAAATTTAACATTATATGGAAACTTGAGTGAGTTAAAAGAAATTGCCTTTTATAGTGATCACAGTATCTCTGATAAACTGCAACAAAACATGGATAGTTACATTCAAACTATTAATACAGTGAAATACATTATATCATGGATTTTGATAGCATGGACACTAATCACTATGATGACCTTAGTTATTCAAGCAGGATTGTTTAGAAGATGCTGGCTGAAGCATGAAACTTATAATAATGTGTACATAACTAGGGCATTCATTGAACAAGTGAGTTGGAAATCGAGTTTGAATAAGTTAATTTGCATTAACTTAGTGTTACTAATTACTTTTAGAAGTTAGTCATAGTTATTTCTATCCAGCTGAGTTGACAATTTACCAGATAGTAACTTCAAAGTGATCATAATTTGATTCACTTTTAGCTTTTATAGTTGATGATCATCTTCAGGATGACATGAGAGATGTATGTGCAGTCTTGAAAGCGGTAACTAGATAATCAAAGGATTTACTATTGAATTATTCAATAGACAATTGGTCCACTATGTAACTAGGTCAATTAGGGTAATCAGTCAATTCGTTTTAGCTGATGATACACTATCTGACCTATACTGCTGACTGAATCCTACTATTGAAATATACAGTGTGGTTAGTACAATAATTAGAAGGTATATCATAATTAGTGGGGCTATTATGGTATCAGCGGTATTATTGAAAAAGTGTATGAATAAACGAAAACCGCGCCAAGCTGTGTCATGATCAAAGGATGAAAAGTGTGCAAACACAGAATAAGCCGAGGCGGTTAAGTTGAACAAGGATTCAAAGAATAGTGTGTATGATAAGTGTAAAACAGTGTGGAAAGAGTAAAAGACAGTCAGGAAATAACCGGATGGATAGGTTAAAACAATGAAATGTTAGAAATTTGTATGCAAATGAACTAAACTAAATTAGCAAGTTGAATAGAGTTGTTGACATGAAAGTAGAAAAGAAGATATGAAACAGGAGGAGAACAAGATGAAGTATAAGCAGATTATAAATCACAGTCTTCAGTTACCAAATTGACTCTATATAATGTAAATATAATGAAAAGAATCCACTTGATACTGAGCATGACAATATGTGATTTACTGTCAAGTGATTTATTAGCTCAGTTTCTAGACATTATATTCTCTTGTAAAACTACTTGACATTTTGCTTCGATTATTTTCAAGATGAATTATGCTATGCAAAATAAGAATCAATAAAACAAATGTGTATATGAAAATTTTCACCCGACTGTTGCAAGGCATACAAGTGAATCGATAAGATTGTGAACTGTCACCAACTGAGCTTACTTGAACACGTGTTGAGCATAGTCAGATACCATCTACCCCAATGTACAATGTTAGATTGAAGTATGATTACGTTTTATAAAAACTGTAGATAACCAGATCAGGATGTGACACTGGCAACACTGTGTCAGGCAGTGAATTTATCTCACCTATTTGTGACCGATTTTCAGCTATGACGCCAACACTCATCAACCACTGATTTCGTTCGTCTTGACGACCCCAACCAGGGAGTCGAAATCTCCCAACGTGCCTCACACCAACAGTCAACAAATACACACATTAATGTCATTTCTTGGTTTGATCATCGTAAACCCTCTACCAACCTAATCCAAACTTGTCAAACATGACTCAGCGACTCGGCATACACAGTGAAGGTTTAATTCACCTCAGTTGACTAAGTTTCACAAGGTAATCAACTGACTAACCTGTCTTGTTTAGTAACTTTCCCTTGACCTCAAGTGAAATGATACGATTAGATTGAAAAGAATTAAACTAAACTAAAGGAGTCGAGGATAAATTGAAATGATAAAAATGAGTGCAGCATTTTTGGCGTCATTTCTACAGTTCAGTAACTTACACTTATTCTTAATACTCATATGCCTGATAGTGAACACTGTACAAGGAGAAACAAATAATAAGCGATTTCATTACATCAATCTGAAATAACAGTGTGAATACTGTAAGCTCTTAATCTATGTAGTTTAGTTTATCTTATAAAACCAGAAGAATGACGATGAATGAAGACTTGGGCATATCACAGTCGCACACCATAAACAAGTTACACATTCTTCTGATTGATATACCATTGATGCGCATACCAGTTAAGGGTAACAGTCCTCATAATTTCACTTCACCCCATTATCTACCTAGATACAGTACCAATAGTATGAATCACTCACTATCAAGAGCTTACAATAGCGTTTTATCTTAAACATTACCAAATCATAACAAATAAAGACATCTGCTTCCTAGACGTGTTTGGTAGGGATGACTGGAAAGTATGCTCGAGACAGTCATCTGATTATAGCTTTCTACGTGTATCATTATCTGAATATCAGTAGATGAACCTTATCTTTTTTACACCCATCAGTTAGTTACCAAGCCTAGAAGATAGAAAAATTCTCTATCTCCCCCCTCTTCGATTCGTTATTACAGGGAATATCCACTGTGGGGATTTTGACAAAAGGCTTCTCAGCCTATACTGGACACTTGCATCATGTTATCGTTTAGTTATGTAGATCAAATGTGTTGACTGTATTCTTTAATTCTTTTTCACTTTATAATTTGAATACATTTTGATTAGGTGAATTTTGTGAATATTATCACTCAGATATTCATCTTGTCTTACATCGAAATACGATACAAGTATTAGTTCTCCTTTAACCGATTTTGTTTCTCACCTTTACTAAATACTCAGCAATCTAGTGTTTAATTTATCCGATATGTATCACGTCTATTATACTTTATTGGGACGAATGTGCTATTAGCGTATCTTAGCTTGAATGTATTTAACAGGACATTCTCGAAATTTACTTATACATACGTTTTGCCATCGTGGGTAATACAGGTGAAGTCATAGCAATCGATTTAGTTTACCGGTGGGGGCAAAGCCTGATGGTCGTGAGGACAGTTACTCAATGATGATATTGGGTGGCGGTTGTGCTATGTCGTGATCCAACAGAAGTTGGAAATATGGACCATCCCATTCTGACCCAGTGGATAAATGGTAACGTACTGGCAACGAAACCTGTATGTCGCGGGTTCGACCGCTGGTGGTGTGGGGTCGTGGGTGCGCACTGCTGGGGAGTCACATACTAGGGAGAAACAGCTGTCCACTGCTCCCAGGTTTCCTTTGTTCCTCCAACTGATGTCAGTCTACGATGAATAACAATTGGAAATATTTTTCTCTTAATGATGAAATAACTGGTTTCTCAGATGATAAAGGTTAGGATTAGGGCTTCAATGGCGTCACTGATATTCAATGGAAACATTTCCATCAGAATTGTGCTTCCACCCAACAAACTGAGATTAATATTATCTAGGCTTCTGTGAATAAAAATACTTGTATTCAGTTAATAATCATTCTTTGATAAACCTGATGTAACGAATAGGCCAGACATCATGAGTAAAACGAAAACTCGTCTATCTGGTCATTCATTGGGAAATGTGAATATAAAAACATGCATTATAATTGTCTATGTCATCACTTACAGAGATGAGAAGTTTACATGATAGACAATGGAGATTAATGACATCACTGTATGCTACTAGTAGTACATCATTAAACCCTTTTGATTGTATTTTATAACTTTCACCTTTTCAGGAAAAAGAAGCTCTCCAACGAGGACTAGTCCCAACTGTTCCACTGATTCGCAAGGAAAACAAAACTTACAAAACATTATCCAGTATAAGTTGGACATCATCAGAAAAACACTCAGCAGTTTTAGCTGCACTGATATTGATTATTTGGAGCTGTTCAGTTATACTAGTCATGATAACTGATTACACAATGTATACACTTACTGACATTGTCCTACCATTATTCTCGCATGATTTTTCTAAGTATGGATCAGGAACCGACTCCGAAGAAGCCTTACAAATAAATGATCATGAAATGTATACACTACACATTACTGGAGATTCATCATTTGCCAACATTATACGATCATTAAGTGATATGCTGAATCCACTAAAAGATGTAGTATTAAGTGTGGATGCAACAGTCTGTCGACCAACACCGAATCCACCTGATTTTAACAGATATATTCAAATAGGTTCATTGCTACTTTTAGCATTTGTTAGCATTGTTCTTCAGGTTAGTCAATCTTAGTCGAATGACTTTTAATAATAATAATAATAATTACTAAATTAACCCTTAAATTAATATAAGGGAATAACTCAGGCATTGTGGTAGAGTATAATTCCGTATGAAAGTGAGTGATACAGTATAATTTACTGGATGGTGTTTCGAGCAGAATTCATTGCTCACATTCATATGATATTCATGCTGCGATTAGACTGGCATATAAACCCATGAACTCGCTCAGGGAGAAGCATTGTAGACTGAAAGACACAATAGAATCAGCCAATCAGGAAGAATAACCTATTCTATGAAACACCACGTAATGATTGTAACATTGTGAAATAATATGGTTAGACTACTCATTATTAGTAAGTAGCATAGAGATGTTTTGATGTATGGCTAGACACAGCCATTGAGAACAGAACACAAGAAGTGGTTATCAGTCTTCGATGATGCGTATCCAGATCATTAGTGCAGTGTACTGCAGTGTGGACGTGTTGAATTTGTGATGTGATTCTGATTGGGGTGGGGTAGAGGTAGGGGTAGGTGGGTGACATGAAAGGAGGGTGTGTGATATATTATGTCAGACAAAACATGGAAATTGAATTGAAATGTGGATCTCATCAGATAAATGTGACTGATCGTAATTCCACTTTAGTGTGTTTATTAGAAATATGACAGAGTGAAACAGTATCATCTACTGGATCCAGTTTCACTGTGTCATATCAATTACGTTCCAAAAACTATAATGAATTTCCTGATTACTTATTTTAACAGACTGCTTGCTAAACTGTAACAGGTCAACTGTCTGTCATCCATTTCATAACGAAATAGTAGTGTGAATGTGAAACTTATAATCTGATATTCAGGATATGGGTGTAGATGTGGTTGTAGGGGTAGGGATAGAGGAAAGAGGGTGGGGGGAACGTGAATGAACTCTTACATCGAAAATGGGAAGTCATTTGTGTCTCAGTGAAATATTATGCTTTAAATTGCAACACGAGTTCTCACTCTCCAATAATCATACATATACTTCATGCCAAACCTACCTTCGTGTTTAGGAATTATAAAATCGGCTTTGTCATTTTGTATACTACACAAAATTCAAAGGGAGAAACGCATGATGCCTCATCACATCTTCATCTTGTAGTGCCACACCTGACACTGAAATATTATGACACTGGAAGTTCACGGCTTCCCATTAACAACTACTCATGGAGCTATTGAAGCGGTTGCCTCGTTCGTGAGAAGAATGAATGGTGCTCAAATGACTGACTGTCACGTAGTCAGTCATTCATGTCTCACCTCCTTTAAACAACTAATCCGTTTGATTTACTTCTAGCTGATACTGAATGGAACGACATTCCATTATGGTGTATGTGTGCGTATGTGTGCATCACTGATGAATGTTTGTTGGCTTGAATGGCTGGTTGAGAAGGCGGAGTAAATATTTCAAGTGGTTATCACTAAGGGAACAGCATTTTCGTAATATGGAAGGAGTAGAAGCAACATTTTTGATCATGTGATTATGTAAGTTAGTATATGAATTCATGATTTCTCGTTTTCATGCTGGTATATTTGAGAAAACGAAACTCAACTCAACTCAACTAAGCTGAGTTGAGTTGAGCTGAACAGAACAGAACATAACAGAACTTCTCATCCTCTCCACATTTTATAGTCAACTCAGTGGTGGATACCATTGAATGGCACTTAAATATCCTTGCAATTCAAATGCAATAGTGTAAAGAAGTAGACAGTGTGATTGTTACAGATGGTGGATAACCGTGAATGGTGATAGTTCAGGGCAATTTGTGTGAAAATGATATGAAAACACGCACAAAACATTTGCTGATTTATAGAAGTGTGGTGATAGTCGCTGGTTAGCGGGAGGTATGTGGTTTCTGTTCTCATGAACCTGCTTAGAAACCTTTACTGGAAGACTTCTTTCTCGATGATTACATATCCTGAAGGAAGTTTGAGACATTCCAATGGCTTTGTAGGTAATGTCTGTCTACTTCACTTTTCCTATCTCACCTGACTTACACCTTAGCCACGATATCATAATCTTCTTTGTAACGATTCAGCATAATTATTTGTACAAACATACATCACCTATTCAGCATTATCCACCAACCATTCTTACCTGAATTCCTGCTGGAGTTTGTACTGACCATATTGTTTAATGTGAATATGCAAGCAGTAAGATTAAACCATCCTGTGCAGAGAACATAACACCATCAAAATCATCCTCTTGTCACCCTTGGTTTTTCACGTTTCGACTGATATAACTAACACAACACATTCCCTCCTTTCTCATACCACTACACCCCAAGTAGAATCGGATTAAAAATTCCACCTTCACACTAATAATCTCCCTCCCCATCAAATCGATGACAGACACCAGTCTGTTATTCTTCATGAATAAACGAATGATGATGACGATGAGCATGATGTTGCACGTCCAAATCGATACACAGCTTCACCCGACATATTCGATTCATTAACACCATGGATATGTGTGTGTGTGTGTGTGTGTGTGTGTGATATGATGCTTGATGTAGTGATTAGTGTGACATCCACATGTGCACAGCGCAGTGAAATATTTCATTCCTGTACACTCTAGTTTAGTTATATACAATCATATTCGACCATTCCTTCTGTAACCACTGGTAGTAACATGAATGACGTAAATATTATTCATGTGGAAATGCTTGAAACGTATAATTTTACACCATCCACCTATACCTCTCGTCAATTTGTCAATGTTGTCTGATGCAATTAGTTAGTTAGCTAGTTAAGTGATTAACAACACCCATCGTATCTACCTTCCAAATAGCTAAGTGTGAAGTCGATCAGGGAAAAACTTTGTAGACTGAACGATCCATTACAACCAGCCATTCAGGAAAAATAACCTGTTATATCAAATATCATGTAATGATTGTGATGTTAAGTATAAAGATAAGAGCAGCCGATCAGTGTCAGTTAGAACAACACAGAACAACATTCTAGCAAAACATACATACATTGTAGACCCTAATGAGATAAACAATTTAAAGGAAAATTCGGGCATTTCTCTGTACGTACTGACCCGTACTCATACTGTAGGGTGGGATAAAGTGATAATTCTAGAATCCACTATAGCTCAGTGGAGGAAGACATTCATCACAGGATATTTCTTCGTTGAATCATCATCCAACAACACATGTAACAGGATTGATTCATCATATATTTATTTGATCAAAAGAGATTAATTGTGCATTTTAAATTCGGGTGTTTGCTCTCCTCATAGGATACAGTCTGAATAATCTTGATAAGGGTGTATAACCAAGCCATTTCTACATCCGTAATGTCCCAATTGATGATATTACAGTTGTACAACTTTTCACTGAACTCACCCTTCAATGGACATAGTACACTGTTAGTGGGTAAGTAAAAACATTTCACTAGCACACTAGGTTCATTCAAAGCATCTCTCCAATCGTTGATATACATGTTAAGCTTTTGAAAACGTAAGCATTTAATATTTCGCATTGTGTTAACACATTGACAGGTGTATATCATGAGATTACGACATGTCATCATGATATGGTTCTATCCAAAGAAAGCAGTTCACCGTGCAGCCTGGTTACGTACATACATAAAGAATAATCGTGGCCTCTATCACCGTATTATACACAAATTTGTAACTATGGATATTAAACCTAACCGTAGAGCACAAAATATATCACGATTTGGAAAATATTTAAGTCTGCATCCATATGTAGCAGCGTTATTTCGAATATTCGGTATTCAGCGTATTATGTGTGTATTCTGTGGTAGTGATGGCAATCCATCAAAAAAAGTTGAATTTCAAGAAAAGTTTACACGTTGTCAACAATGCGGTGCTCACTTTTGTCATGCATGTCAAGTAACCTTAAATCGCATGTGTTTGCTATGTCGTTCACCATTATTCTCGATGGCTGTTGAAGTTGATTTTGAAGAATGTTCAAGTGACGAAGAATTTCAAGCTATCAATACACGATATTTACGCCTAGTTGATCAGTCTACAACAATATCATCTAAGAATAAAATGGAAGATGAAACAAGTAGTCTCTCAATTACTCGTTCACACATATGAGACATCAAATTGCTCATTTTCAAAGTAACATATTATTATTATTATCATTTGTTTACTTTTAAATAAATAGGATTGATGTTTCAACAAAAACTGTTTTACAGATGGAACCTGTGCAAACTCGAGGAGTTCATTTTATCTTCATCACATTACTTTGATATTTTGAACTGTGTTCCTTTATTCCAAAGATGTAGCATAAGTAACTAGGATAGACTAAGCTGCAGTCATAACTACTACTAACTGATTAGATAGATTATCGTATTGTGAGTGTTTGGCACCTGGATATTGATCACTTTCATAGATGTATTAAACAATGAACCACTCTCTAGGTTGTACTTACTGATATATATATATATATATATATATATATATATATATATATATATGTCAAACAGAGGTTTATATTCATTCAAATGTTTGATTTGCTTCACACTCATTCGCTCACTCTCTCAGTCCTCCAGGGTGATGTGTTACTTGCAAGCTGATTTGAAATGAACTTGGGATATTCAGTTGCCTAATTTTTGTCCAAAAATGATACTTTTCCGTCTAAATTGCTCAATAAACAGTCAGTCTCTCACTATCAACGTCCTATCTCAAGACTGGACTCGGCCGATCGATTAATTGACATTATGGATATGTGTGTAATGTTGAAATTAGCTTGACATACACATTTGCACGGTACAGTGTAGTCATTATCCTCATCTTAACAACGCTATTCCGAATCTCACCATTTTGTCACTCCTCTTTCCTTTCTTCTCGTACTTTATATTTCTATTGACTGCATTCACTTATCTTCATCCTTCGCCTCACTACCTTTTTACTTGATGTGCTGATATGAGGTATGGCAACTCGGACCGTTAAGCAGTAATGCCTGGTCCTATGTTGATAATGATGGTGATGATGAGTGTAGTCATTTCAGCGCACTCATGAAGAGTTGCACACCAGGATGATGCAGCTGTTCAGTGTTCCCAGCTTTTCCCTCATCCTTCAACCGTTATCACTCTGTGATGAATACTACCTCGAAGTAAATCAGTCATCATAAACGTCCAAGTAAACCTCAGAGATTTACGTATAAACCTGCAGGAATGTCAATTTCCTTTTAAATTTTACCTTCGATCAGAATAACCATAATTTCCCTTAGCAATTCAGGACCAGCATATTTCCCGCTGAATGCACCCAAGTTTAGTTTACCCTTTCATTGAACAAATGTATCTATTGATTCCAGGTTGGTTCTCATCATGGATTGATAACAGGTAGAGAATTATTGGAAACCAGGAAGGACTGGACAGTTGTTCCTTCCTGGTCTGGGACTTGTCAGCAGTACACACGCACCAGGGTCCTGGGTTCGATCGTTGTCGGGGTGTGGTGATGGCTTAGGAGTCCTACACTACGACGAAATAGCTATCCAGTGCTCCCAGGTTTCCATTTTTTCTGCATGATGACAATCATCCTGAAATCGATCAATAAATCCCCACAAACCTCCAAATTAAACTGTTATTTCATTGTTCCAATGTATAATATCCAAACAAAATACTCGACAAGAACTGGCTTCCTATAAACGTTTCCCGAAAATTATGACATGTAGGAGTGGCTTAGTTAGAAGGGAGTACAGATGTCCACCGCTGATATTCGATGATAATTTCAGTATACTGGAAAATCTGGGAATTGGAAAAGTATGGGCGACCTGCTGTGTAATAACTGTGTAATAATTGTCCATGGAACGTGACGCCCCCTAGTTGCATTCCACGTCCACTTTCGTACACTCCCGAACTCCAATGTAATAACTGTCCACTGCTTTCTCATGTGATATTCACTAGTCATTCAGGTGACAATTGTTGGTGGAAACAACCTCAAAATTGGTCAAAATCCCCCAAGTCAACAACTCAAAATCAATCAGATGTGTAGCCTGAATTGTTTGATGTATTTTGTAAACTTTCAGTCATATCACTTTGATAAGTAAGCAAATAAAGTGTGGAAAATCGATAACTTTTTGAATGTCTATGTATGTTTGTTTAGCTGTTTGATTGGCCAACTTCAACTATCAGTTGATTATTATTTCGGAGAATGATTGTCGAGAGAAGAAGAAATAAATGGGAAAACAAAATGTTAACTGATTAAAAAATATATAAACACTGAATGTAATCTGATGACAATACAAGATAATTTGACATCATATGAAAGTGATAACTAGGAAAACAATCATACTAAATGTTATGCAGTGAATATGTATGTATTTAACTGAATCTATAGCAGATTATATGCCCAGAGTTACAAATCATTCTCAACTAATAATAATGATAATAACATCATCTTCAGGAGTAATTGTTTCTCATCCAAATGTCAGTAATGCGAATTTCATAGGGAATTCTACCACGAATAATGAAGTAGATGATGAAGTTGATAGAGACAGATTTGAAAAAGTATTAAATGATCTAGAGAGACCGTGTGTTTTATGCATACCATTTCATTATGTAAGTAAATTATACACAAACATTTTTGATTGGAATATTCTATCAGTGATAAAGAAGAGAATTTTTCAATCAAAATTATCATTTAATGAACATAGTGTTTTACAAATAATCTGTAATAGTATAATTGGATTAATATTTAGCATAATCATAGGATTTATTGTTTATGCTTTATTCATTGTCATCTTGTTAGAGGATAATCGACAGACAGCAATTCTATTCACTGCTTATATTATGATGCTTTCAATAGTTGTGTTAACCTGTTCACCTGATATTCAATGTATTGCCCTGATCACTTTTATCTATTCAACTACAAAAAGTTGTATAAGATGCTTACTACTCTTATATACAACAAGTTTATGTTGTATCAATGGATCAGGTTTAAATATTTTGTATAATTTTGACAATTTTCATAATTATTTCACCTGTATCATATCACTAATCAATATAAATATGATGATTATAAAGAAATTTAATAATTCCCCATTCAATGTGTTAAATGTTTCAATTGAACATGTAATCAATGAAATCAACTCACGTCTATATAATATGCGAGCAATACTGTCAAGTATTCACCTATCCATCTTACACTTGATTACAACTATACAGAATAATGTTGCTTGGATTGAATCTATTCTAGATGATTCAGCATCATCATGTAAAAATACTGATGATGTATTACGGAATTTATGTAGACGTTTTTTAAATAAAGCCTATTTAATGTGTATTGATGAATTGAGCACAGTTAGCACATTTTGCAGTCATTTAAAGTATTTCTCAATGAATATGTGCTCTGAATCCTCGTCAATGACTGATGAATGCCAGAAATATAGTAGACTTATTGAAAGTGATATAAAAATTGAATGGAAAAAGAATGTTACTGAAGCACAAATGGAGAAAATATTAAACATGATCGGAAGAAGTAACTTAACACTGATCACAAAGTTTGATGACTACTACCCTGAGGTGACCAATAATAATGATAATAATAATAATCAAATGAATGATGTAATTGATAGTTTATTGAGGATACACTCAACTGATTTCACATATCAAGTTGAACAGGCTAAAATAATTATTTACTGGATTCTATTTGTATACTCCTTCTTCACTATGATCCAGTTAATTATTAAAGCGGTTAGCTTTAGAAATTCTTGGCTAAGTAATATCACTTTTGATAATAATTATATCACTCAAGCATTTATTACACAGGTGAGTAGTAAGTAGTATTTAGATAATGAATTAAAATTTCAATTGACGATGATGATGATGATGATGATGATAATTCGTGTGTATGAAAAGTGATTGGTTAATTCAAGAGGAGAATAAGAATAAACTGATTATTCTATTCTATGTAAAAATGTTAGATCATCTATGAAGGTAGTTATCAACTCAGCATGTTTGTCGTCCATATTCTCTTCTTGTCTGTTCCTATATGAATCAATCAGTTTATAATGATACAGTGGTTCATGGATGTCTGAATAATTAGGCCTTGTACGATTTGTAGGTTGAATATAACACAAGTTCCCTTGCTGATGTACTGAAATGAAGCGAATAAGTCGAAGCCAGTGAATAAGGAAATGACAAATCTTCTTCAGCTCCGCTTGCTCACCTCAAAACCATACCCAAAATGTTTCATTTACATACTCATTAGCTGTGAAATCTAAAGTGTTATACTAAAAGTTTCAATCGGAGGGAGTTATTCAGCATTTCTGATGTATAAGCGATGTCTGATAGGGAGAAAAATGTCATTCAGTAAGAATGAAATGATTAAGACTGACTGATGAAACGTATAAGACTCGTGTGTTTTACAATTATGCAGAAAAAGATGAAGATGGAATTGTCCACTTCTACATGCATCTCACTGCTAAGCATGTTTCTTTTCATAAAAGTCTACAACACTGCTAGTTAGACCAGAATGTCAAGAGATACTCGACCAATAAAAAGTTTTGTTGACTGGACTGCAGTGGAGTGGAGTGGACAACCTGTAAAGAGAGAATGGTCAAACGATGAGAATAAACCAGTTTGTGGGGTGACTGAAGACTAACTGTAGGTACGTAATGAACTGTAAGCTATCTGGTTGTATTCCACAACGTCGGAACTTCATAACTGACGACTTTTAAGACTATGATACAAAATCAAATACACTAGTTTTTGTTGTTCCAAAAATTATCGATGGTTTTCCTCGTTACCCTCAATTAAACTTTCTGCTTATTTGGATATCTTCCTAGTCTATTGCTGTGGACTGTAATCCATTGAATTAGTACATTCGAGTCTGGTATTTATATTTTTCCACCTGTTAGGTTAGACTGAAAGTTCAACCAAGTAATCAAGTAAGGAGTAAACTGTACTAGGCAAACTTGGAATACATTCAGGGATAAACTTCTTAAAATTTGACGAGTGAGCTAGTCTCTGGTTTGAGCACTGTGGTGAGAAACAGAGTACCCTGATAAAGTGATACAACTCACTTTCGCGCATAATTCTACACATCTGTTCAGGTTTTATTAGCTTCAAAATTCTGAACGTTCTATTCATGCTTATTTATTCTCCGATTCCTTCAATATTGCTTTGCATTTTCCTTGATATCATTGTATTTCGACTAGCTTCCTCTCTGTATCCACTTCCGGACTGGCTTCCACATTCACCTGTCTTCATGCCTTCTTAACACTGCTTCTAATCTCCATCATTCTCAAAGCTAATCATGATATTCGTGAAGAATGGGTACATTTTCCACTTTTAATGCATATTCGATTTACTTATTAGGTAAAACAATGATGTACTGCTTTTCAAGTGAACTTGCAAACTGATTTCCTCACCTTCCAATAACTAGAAATAGTAGTTCATAGGCATGAGGAAAGAATAAGAATTTCAATTGTTATTCGTGTATTCCATTTCAATCCATTGCAACAACATAACTTTGAATAGAGTAACTGCAGTAATGTCGTCAGAGCGACTTGTTTTGTTCAGTAGTTGGTGGGATGGCCCCCAAAATCATTCCTGTGATATACGTCATGATGATATGAAACTGGGATGGCAGATAGGAATATCATGATGCGTTGAAGCTACCAAATTTGATGAATTAACTTCGGAGCAACTCTAAAGACTCAACTAACAACCTCTGAAACAACCAATCGGAATTCTTCATTTTGTTGAAAACATGAACCAAGTAACCTTAATAGTTATTTCAGTAGTTGCTGAAGTAGCCATTACAGTTACACTTTGTTAAACCATCAGAGGAGGGAGTGTCCTGCAAGCTACCCCAGCTAATTAATACCTGTACAACCAATAAGGTCTCCATATTTCCAGTGGAAAGGTGTTTTTTAATAAAATACGAAACGTAATTGGTTCCCTCAGTAGTTGCTAGGGTGGCTTTTGCCAATAGGTTTAACTAATCTTTAATATGTCATCAATAATACCTTGAGAAATCACTTAAATTTCCGAGCGATTTTATAAGCCACCTTAACAACTGATGAACCAAGTAGTCAGATTTCTTTACTTCGTGAAATTCTTATCTTCCGGTCAAATTATCGACACTTAATTGGTCACTTCTGTAGTTGTTAAAGTTGGCCTTTATAGTCACCCAAATTTCACCATCAATATTTCGTTTGTCGATGTGTATTGTTGAAATTATCGTTGAATATTGTCTACGAGAGTGTGAAATTAAACGTTTTTTTAAGCTTACAGTGAATGAGCATTTGTTTTCTGTCTACTTTATGCATAATTCAATAAGAAATTATTCATGTTGTACAGAGAGAGATATTCACCTTCGTATGTTTCATTGTAAATAATCGACATGTCAAAACTCATTGATAATAATAATAATTTCACAATGAATTTTGTAAATTCCAGGAGAAACGAGCAGTGATACAAGGTTTAATTCCAACATTACCATTAATTAGGAATGAAGCAAATATTTATAAAAAGCTGACAAGTTTCAGTTGGACTAAAGATGAAGTGAGTAGATTGAAAAAGCTGAACATACTTCACATCATATGGATATTTCTAATCATAGCCATTATGATGATTGATTATGCTGTACACAATGCTCTATATTCAGTAGCATCAGTCTTCTCAGCAGACCCTGTTCCATCCACACCAGCATCAATTCACAATGATTATGATTATTATGGAGCAGAATATGATCACACACAGACTGTGCCACATCATACAATTATTAAAGGTGATACGTTCTATGCAAATATAGTAAAGAGTATGATCAGTCTATTAATTCCACTAAGGGATAAACTGGTCAATATTGATGCTACAATCTGTCAGCCAAAATCGAATCCACCGAATCCGACAAATAATGCAGTAATTATATTATTACTGTTTTTGATAATTAGCAGTGTTCTGTTTGAGGTAAGTGCGAATGTGTATGTGTGTGTTTATCTGTTTGTCTCAGTTGACGATAATAATAATAATAATCTGTTAGTCATGATTTTCAGTAAATGAAAACCAACTGATATCAACGAAGCCTATGTAGTCGGTGGAGTTAATAACATCATATGAACACTTATAAACAGCTACTGAGTTGACTGATGCATAATAATTCTGTCTTCTAGATTCATTCTATTCCCATGCTGTACACGTATGGATATCTTTCCAAGAAATTCGGAACTAAATTGATTCTACAGAGATTCCACTCACAAGCTAAAGAACAACTGGGTGTGTGTGATGTCGAGAATTCTTACCAAGTATGAGGTGACAACTCTTTAACCACGAATGTTTTAAGTCAGATGCCTTTGTGAGTAAACTGTAAACAAAACACGGATTCCACCTGTATCTTTATGGTATTTAAAGGATGTTTAAGTAGAGAATGCAAACGGCTGTGAAAATATTGTACAGATCTAACGAAGTGTTTGCTTCCTAACTGTCCTCAAAATAAACACTAAAGACACTGCATCAAAAAATTAATGTGCCATACCGAGGTATGATTTGTAATGTTGAAAAGTCGAGAAAGAATTTCAAATTTGTATTGTTTCCGTTATCGGAAACCCCATACCAGTGTCTTTAAATAACAACCCAACCTACCGAAATCTAATTGGCTATTTCTGTGTTTGCTTGGATGGCCTTTAATGTCACTCAGAAAATATCTACCTTCCGGTCAGATGATTGTCAGTTGTATATTTTAAACTGAAGAGACTAGTCATCGTTGGCATGTCGTTTTGTCAGATGAGTAGATGCACACACACACACACGCACGCACACACACGCACACACACACACGCACACATACACACACGATGAATATGACTTCCTAAATGTATAGCCAACAGGAAGTTTTATGCAGCTAGTTGGATGAATATATATATTCGACGGAAATATAATTGTGTGTATCCAACACTTGATGAATGCAGTGATTCAGTAGGCTTAAACAGTTGGCTGTTATTATCTCCATTTCTCTACTGATCTATATATGATTTTCTAATATAAATCTCGATTCTTTTCGTACCAGGTGTATGCTTTGAGACTGTGTCATGTAATCATGATATGGTACTATCCAGAAAAATCAGAGCAAAGAGCTTCATGGTTACGCGCACATATAAAAAATAATCGTCAACTCCTTCATGGTTTAAAACATATATCAAGAGTACCAGTTGGTCGACCTAGTAGCAGATTTTGCACTAAATCACTTCTTCGAAGACTTTTGATGAGTTATCCAAAAGTGAAGGCTGTGTTTCGTGTCTTTGGTATCAGACGTGTTTTATGCGCTCTCTGTAGTGTGGAGCAGAACCCATCAAATGAACAGAAGTTGAGAGAGAATTTTTATCAATGTCCTGAGTGTAGTGTATACTTCTGTCCGTCTTGTCAGCTTCATCTCGAGCATATCTGTTCAGTGTGTTGTACACCACTGTTCGTAAAAGATACTCAGATTGACTTTGAAGAATATTCAACTGATGAAGAGCATATGGCAATGAATTCATTGTATTTTCAAAGAGCCGACCAAAGTCGAGGTCAGTTGACTAGTGGATCAACAGTGATTAATCCAATTACTTCTAGATTGTAATGCATGAGAATTATTTCGCCTTTATTCTGACTTCGAAACAAATATTGTAGTGACCATTCAAAGTATTAAGATTGTTTGATTTGAGTAGAAAAACTTTCGGTTTAATTCACAGTTGAATAAACAAACACCAGGTTAAATTATTCTATATGCTACTTATCTAAAATATTGCCCATATGAATCAATAAGAAAGATAAGTGATATTTTAAAAAATGTAAACTATTGTTTATTTTAATATAATGGATGAATGAATATGGGTGATTAGTGGAGTTAGACGTTGACAATTTTTATTCCCTTTGAAATTGGCCAGCTTGATGTTTAATAGTGTTACTATCTTGGCTCGTAGTTATTCTGTGTAGCATTTGAATCTGGTGATTTACTCTCAAAGCTGATTGTGCACATGATTAGTATTTCGTTACTTGCTCTCTCGCATACTTAATTCACTCATACGACGAGTCATGCAAGTCGACCCTCCCAACGATGTACAGAAGAACATGAAGTCTAGTGCTTGGTAATTTGGTAATTTGAATCATTTGTATGTATATCACTGAATGATATGACTGTGATACACCACAATTGGTTAAAAATGAAACAACCAATTTTAGTGCACAGACAATTTGATAATGTGCAATAATTTGCACCATTCAACATGAAATTATTTAACAAGTTTGAGTCACAGGTGTTAAATGGAGCCTGTTGAGTTGAACTATACCATAATAATAATAATAACAATAATAATAATAATAATAATAATAATAATAATAATAATAATAATGTTTGCGAAAAATTCATCAGTTAAGCATCTTTTAAAATAGATAAAATAATATGACCAATAATATTTATATGAGATTCATGTTTTCCAGTAATGTTTTCGAGAGATATAACAAACTGCTAAGAAATTCACAAAACCTTTCAAAGCAATCCCCAATTAATTAGGGTTTAAATGTTTACTGATGCATTCAAAGCAACATTCTCTTGATTATTTAGTTTTACACACCACATCTGCCGATTAAAAAAAGGTGACAAGTGAACTGTGACCAATAATAATGAATGAATAGCTTATTTGTGTTCATTGACCAAAATAAAGTTTTTCAATTGCTTCATCTTATACCTGATTCCATTGGAATCCTTTTAACGGTTGTCTCTTACATCATATCATCACCTTACACAGATCTGCTGATTTCGGCTAGAATATTCCATCAAGTGGTGTAGAACAGCTTGATCATATCACCGAAATCGGAACCGTGATTACAGTTATCCGTCAGTGTTTTTTTTAACTAGAAAGGCTGATTTCGGTTGGGATACACCAAATCTCCTGACTTTGACAGACTATATTACATGGTGACATGGTGAAAATATTTTAAGACTTACAATCCTACAAAAATACACAAAGTAATTCAGAGAGGAAAATTTTCTTTTCCATTAATCATTTTCACCAACTGTACAATCATATTTATAGTAATGTAACAAATAAACAAACAGATTAGTCTGTTGTTATTGGCTAATCGATAAATGTTAAGTCATCAAAACGTTGAAAATGTTGAAGAGTGAAATAGTGTGGATTGATGGTAGACTTAGAAAGGGATTGCGTAAGTAATCAAGTGTTGCTGATAGGGGAAACATGCAGTCGATTAACCTGATGACTAATTGGTTAAAATAATCACACTAATTCTAGTCGATAATCAGAGGTGTAAATTGACTTGCAATTTTAATGGGAGGTTGGAGATGAGATATGGGAAAGTAAACAACGTCAATTGAAGTCAGTTTGGTCAAATAATCATGAAGAATCAAGCAGATAGAACCGACGACATCGTTAAATCTAGCCTAGTAGGACCAAGTAAACAACTAGGCAATTTCTCATAGTTACTAGAATGAAAATATGTATGTAGGATGTCAGTTTCATTGATGCTTTCAGTGAAGTATTAAGGTAGCTAGGTACCCACTGATGTTCTCTACTGATAATGCCAGTCAGTAATACAATCTGCTTGCACGTTATTTCACAAAGAGAAACCAGTCACACCTTGAAGGTCAGTACAAAGGTACTTAAGAAGTCTATTGCACAGAAGGAAAAAGATTGCCTCCATGATAGTTCCATGCAAAACTTTCAATCACAATATGACTGAGTTCAGTCATTCACCTTAGTTATAGATAATATACACATTAATTCTAACCTTCACAAAGCACTTTCTCCACGATATATCCTTGTTCGATTACACTTTGCAACTGTAAGTAACAGGATATGAAATATGCTGTTGCATGAAACATCACATGCATATACATCGTGTGTTAGTTGATTAGGTGGTTAAAGATAATGAACAAGAATTCCTCAAAAATACCTCAGTTAGTGATTCTTCTACATTGGTCACCTCATTGTCAACTTGACTGATCGAACCGTATTAACGGTTGTGATTAGGTAACACTATATTAGTCACTTGCTATTGACGATTTCATGTCATCAACCTTTCCCTATCAATCCCTTCTAACCATCTTACATCAGTACAATTTTCTATGTGTTCATCTTTACTAGCATCCAGCCTTATTAAAATTACTATTCAATTTGGCTCATTATGGATCTTAGATACCAATGAAACTCACACAAATATTAGCTTTTGACCCTGTCATGTGGTTGAAATGAAGACAGATAAATGTGCTGTGAATGCAGATTACTCTGAATAACTAAGCTACTGAATTCGACAGCAATTAACAGTTATCGCCGATTTCTATTTCAGTTGGTTATTACACCTTTTACACCTACCGTCTACGGAAAATCCTTTTTCAGTAGATGAAACGATTAAACTGTTAAAGCTTAATTGAGAAGACTTTAAATGTTTCACCAGGACTTCACTTCTCAGACATACTGCCAATCTCTTCCCAAAGTTAGCCATAGGTTAAGGTTCTTAAATCATCAGAATTTCGTAAATAAGTTCAGATTATGAAGCATCTATGCAATGGACAGACAGCATTTTCAATTCTATCAGGTTACATCCTGACTCTGACAAGTAAAAGGCTTAGAAGCATCATTTTATTTGAGACAACAAGGTAATGGATAAGTTAAGTGGAATTCCGTTTGCCTTTTAGGCTTGTTTAATATAAATCTAAGCCAAAATATAAAATCGAATGTTGTCAAAATTCGTCCCACCAACGACTGAAACAATCAGTTAGCTTTCTTTATTTCAACTGGAAAAGCATCTTCTCATAAAGTGTAGTACTTCAGTAGTTGTTAGGATGACCTTAACAGTCACTCATAAAATCTGTGAAGCTTTATTAATTGATTAGTGAGAAACGAGAAAATAAACCACAGAATTATTCAGTTATGATAAATTTTACTTTATCAAGCTAATTACCTGTTTCATATTGAATCAAAAGTTACATTTACTACACATTATATTATACGGAATTCATATAATCACCTGAAGTGTTACCAACCTCTTACACAATCAGTAAAATGTTACTTAATTAATTAGAAATCACTGTTAAAGATCACATTGAGAGGTGAAATGCTGGTAAAGAATCAGTTAGCAACAGAAATAAGATAGAGGTGATCAGAACACCGATAAACGGGTTGATGGAAACTGTAACTTCAATAAAGAATATACTAGAACAATAAAAATGCTTCCAAGTTATTGACGAGAACTAATTCACCCATGTCTTGACTTATTCAAGTTTTTACAGCAAAGTGATTTCAGCTCTTATCAGCTGGAACAGTACAGTATGCAGAAACTGATGTATCTTTGATTCCAGATGGCCTCCATCAATCTGTAATTCAAAGAAAAATTCGGGTTTCTTTCACGAGAAAACGAAAATCTGAAAAAGTCAGGCAAGTACAAATGACACTGAATAATTTAAACAATATTTCCTTATATAAACTATAGATTAAATTGAAGCCTCATTCTCGCGTAGGGATAAAATCAAATGGGAAATAAATAGTGACGAAGTAGTAAGTTATAACTTAAATTGTGCATCTCTTACAGTTGAGTTGCTTTATGTCAGGATGATACTGAAGGGAAAATATTTTTATCCACAGGAAATCATACTTGTGACATTATATATCTAGTCCCTGCATTGTGAAAGTCTCATACGCTCATGAATAATTTGAACAGTCGTATATTATGCAAAAGCGATAATAAACAGTTTCATTTGTCACATTAACGTGATTTCAACATCAGATCGCTTTTTAATTGATTTCACTTGGATTTCCTTAACACCAAGTCTAAACAAGCTCATTGTAGACAACTAGATTATCCGAATAACCAGTGTGTATTACACTGGGTAGGAGAAAACTTGACTAGAAGCCAGATTCATGATTAGCATATAACCCTTAACATCTACTTCATCATACATAAAAGGTAGGTAAAGTAGGTCAATCGATAAAACGAATTGGTGCAATTTCATGCATGTTTGTTGAGAGTGAAGGAGCAAGGACGTATCAATAACGAGCAAATTTTCAAACATGTGTTACCCCCTGATAATCAACTTAGGAAGTTTCATGTGTAGAAAGCGATGGCTCAGTATATCCATGAATATGGATTCCAGGCATCACAGTCTGAAGTGGTATATATATAAGGAAGTAGTGATAATTTCATAACTGGTGCTTCCATATTGTGTTCTGTATAGGTGAACATTGAATAAGCAAATCTTACATGTAGCTTACTTTAAAAAAAGTGTATTATCATTGTGAATAAAACCAACAAACTAATACGTTCCTAATAGTAACAGCATCGACCCAGTAACTGACCGATGGCGGTATATAACAGTGAACGCGATAGGGTTAATGACGGATATGGGTTTGAGTTGTCTGAACCACTGCAGTAAGTGACTAACTATTCTTGCTAGCTGATACATAAAGTTTGATTCACGTAGCCGTTTCGCATGAGACAACACGGTTTAAAGTTACACCTAATGATGAGGAGAAGTTTATTGTTGAACTATGCTGAAATATTTGCTTAAAGTTCTCAAGGTATGAAAAACTTTGACTAGCGTACTATAATGTCAGGTTCGATGTTTATACATTTGGCCAGTTGTTGTTGTTTAAGCTAAGGGACAATTAAAATCTTATGGAAGTCTTGTCGGTTCAAACTATACTATGATCAACAATTTCTCTTGACTTCATCCTCATTCTTCTACATCAAGATATGTTTGTCAAATAAAATTGTTTCAGACAGTTCAATTAATAATTAGCGAATAAATGGGATTTAATGATTCCATACTAGACAATCTGGCGTTTACATCACTGAGAAGTTTCACATCAAGATGAAGGAACTTAGTGAATGAATACACTCGTTATTTGCCTTTTAAATAATGTCCCAAGTTACTGAAGGCCATATTAGAAACAAAAAAAACTCTCTTAGACATTTTATACATCACTGTAGACTAATAGTTTTGTATTTATCATCTACCAAGTAGAAAGCAAAACAAACTCACAATAAAGGTATTTCAATCGTAAAAGACACTGGAATATCTGATAGACTAATTCACAAATGTATTCACGTATGATATATAAACAATTCAGCAAGAAACATGCAAATTTATCAACTGGTGTGCATTTTCACAATAGATTATAAAATATATGAGTGTAGTGGTTACATAAGACAATGATGATTTCCATGAAAATAGATTAACAATACAAACAACAGTAAAGCATAAGTGATTAAAGCATGAGAAAGCATACACCGAACCAAAGGACACAAATTAGCTTTATTTTACAAATATGGAAAATTGGTAATGAAAAGAATAATTTTAAAGAAATTATATACGATTAGTTTTAAAAGTCTAATCTATCACGAGATATTGACATCGAATGAAAAGTCAGAGATAGTTGAAGACAATGGATTATTTACTTGGTTTTGATCTAACACCTCTAAGCCAAGCATAATCTGAGTTGTTTCGTTAGAATCCATAGTAAAGAATAGATGAAACAATTTGTTTTGACATGTATCAACTTCAACCCAATATTATACGGATAGATTTTAGAAGTTAATGAACACACCTGTATGGTTCATATCACACCTTGAAATATATTTCAATGAAAAATTGTTTATATTTTCTGAGAGCAGAGACTTACAAAATAGATTTCGTTGAAAATTCCATTACAGACAAGACAATATCCTACTCTAATATACTTTAATCCAGTAGTAAGTGGTAGGATGACTCGTAGCGTAGCATGGCTATGGACAATTTTTTCGATAATATTAACAGCCTGTTCATAGTACTACCAGTTATGAATATATTTTTGTCTTTACTATGAAATTAATTTCAGGCAAGCGACTTCGATGGCAAGAAGTGATAAGCATTCAGTGTCTGTAGATCTGTTTTTCTATACAGTGGTTTATATTACATTATTATTTGTCCCTTGGGTTCCTAGTGGAACATAGGGCTTCACTAGTATGTCTCCATTTCACTCTGTTTTCTGCCATCTTTTGAACCTGGCTAGATGACAGCCCAGAAGCTCTCGTTTCTTCCTCACACAATTTCATCCATGTCACCCTCAGCTGGGACGCTCAAATCATAGTTTCCCCTTTGGATTCTACTCGAGGGCCTAGCCTAGCAGGTGATGTCCCCGAATGGTCTTCTCAGTGCATACCCAATCCATCTACACTTTCGCCCAGTGCATATTTGTTCAAAGATAGGTTGTTGGTTGGTTCGTTGCCAGGTCAGAGTTCCTTGTTGCTTATTCTTATTATTCTGGCAATCCATCTGAGCTTCAGTAATGAGCCAGCGTATGCGGCAGCTGTTGATGAATGTCTGTAGTTTGTTGGAAATCACTTTCGTAACGCGCCAAGTCTCCCAACCATCACATAGAAGCAGTGACTTGACTGAATTAGTGTTGAAAGTCCGGATCTTGTTCATACTTTATGCTGAGCACGGTAGATATCCACACTGGTCTAAGGTTAATGAATGCCTGTCTCGCTTTTCCGATCCTGGCTGCTTTGACGTCCTCGTCTGTGCCTATCCTGTCTGTAGTCGAAACAGTGCTGCCTAGATAGGTGAAGGAGGCAACTTCCTTTAAGTTTCTCCCGTTGATGGTGGTTCGAGCTTGTTGTTGTTGGGAGTGATGGTGTTGGTTGGGTATCATCATCACCTCTGTCTTCTCTATATTCACTTGAAGTCCCACCTTCATTCACTGCCCTGCCTCACCTCTTCTGTCAACTTGTTAGTTTTCGCCTGTAGATCTTCCAGTTTGTGCGACAAGACATCAGACACAAGTCATCAGCGAAATCCAAGTCTCCTAGTATCTTTTCCGCAGTCCAGCGTATCCCCCTCTTCTCACAGCTCCTCACAGTTTGCTGCATGATCCAGTCCAGTCGACCACAATGAGGAATATCCTGGGTGATAGTAGACAGCCTTGTCTTACTCCTATCTTCACTTCAAGGGCATCACTGAGCTTCCCATTGTGAACTACTTGGCTGGCATGTGGCGTCTTCATATAGTTGTTGAATGAGGTTGATACAGATTTGTGACACTCCGTAGTGTTGAAGCAACTGCCAAATTATTTGCCGGTCGACGCTGTTGTCCGTACTTTGAAGTTTCTGTAGCGGTTAGATTGGTTTTACGGGGTAGGGTTGCTAGATCTATGCCCAACCTTCCCTCTTTACCTGGATATAGGACCGGTTACTAACCAGTGAACTAGTTAACAAGGCGAAGTTTATAGGTAATGATATTTACTCCCCTTTCACAGGTTTACACGACTATATGACAAAAATGACTAAGGTTGTTATAATGTATATCTTAGGTAGGTTGACATCGATCTAATAGTACTGATTCTTGCTGCCAATCAGCAAGCAGTTCAGCAGATATATGGATAGTAATTCAGACCAATAAACTTATGAGATTTCCACTGATTATGTAGGTTTTTGATCATATATTCACTAGTATTTATCTAAACTTATAATCTATTTACAAAGAAATTCAATTATATGAATATAAATGCCTCGAAGTATTAAAATTAGTCTCTCTTTTTTACTTTTAATAGACGGAAGCTTTTTTGTACTTTTCAATGGTAGTTTTTGCTTAGTCGTCGACTTCAATTTATTTCCTATCCTAGGTAATCGTGGTAATGACGTCCTAACTGAAGTTTTCAACAAAATATCTCAATTACAGGTGTACATATTGTGTAGTGCACAGTATAGTGAAATACACGAAAATATATTTGGGTGTCCAGTTAACATGCAGACATCAAAGCAAATTAGCAAAAAAAAACATAAAAAGGAGATGGATAAAAAAAGGATGAGGTTAGATAATTAACACACAAAATAATTATGATGAGATAATAAATACGCTTGGTAACAATGGAAACTAAAGAGGACCAGGTAATTGACAGTCGGGTGACTCAATTATTTTTAGCTAATATTCAACTAGTCTTATGCATATACTGTTGTTGTTGTTATTCTATTGGATTTCAACGTGAAGGATATTTTTCACTTAGAATACAAAATGCAGGTAACCATGAATTAACCAGCTTTTACAAAAGGATTAGATCTTAGTAAGTACGGAAAGTAGATAAAGTTTGCACAGTCAAAAGTAATCGAGCGAAATTGGTATGCTTCATATGTAGCTACATAAATTCGTATAAGGTGGCCACGAGGATAACTATATTTCACTTAACAGGTCTCATAGTTACCTGCATGATAAACATTTAGGTCATTTTCAATGGTGAAACTTAGTGTGGGAATAGAATGCCAAATGTGCAGACTGGTCAATATCTCTGTATGCATAGAAACAGTTGTCTTGCCATAATCTTTAGAAAGAGGTATGTTGAC